CCCCCCCCCCCCCCACCCCGGCTCTGACATCCTTTGTGAATGGCCCCCAAGTAAGATCGTACAATCAATTGTACTATATCACAAATGTTTGGTGTGATGTAAAAGGTCGCTTTGGTGTGATGTAAATGGTCGTTTTTAATCACGGAAATTAAAACTCCACAATAAAATGATATGGGATACTATAAATCTATAATATCCCACGACAGGCATGGGATACTATAATATCTGTGCCAGTGCAGGTAGTACCAATGTAAACTCGCGGAAATGTGTGCGTATCTTACTACCTGAAATAATAAGCAGAAACTCGACGTTTCAAGCAAAGGCAAAGGCCCTTCGTGGCTTCGTCAACAGAGTTGGGGTAGGAGAATATCCCATGCCAGCACGCGCCACACACGTGGAAACCTCGTGCCTAGATGGGAAAATAAACAAACTGCATGATAACGTTTAAGTTTTCCGTATAATATATAATTTATTTAACCTTCACATTGGAAATTTGACAAAATGTTGCGCTGCATATTAAGTGATATTCCCTCGGGCAATGCCCTCGTTCTGGTTACATACATGTAAATGTAAATATAACTACGATATTTAATAGTAGGTGAAGTATTAAGGTCAAAGTTGTCTTTATTCCGGGTCTGAAACTGGCAGTATCCCGCTATCCACAGGATACCAAAAATTCGGTTTTGGATAGCAACCGGCTTCTAATAGCTTTTGAATATTATCAGTTTATTGCCACCAGTCTTTTCTCATTGAGGACTATCATATAGAAGTTTCTTGAAGGATTATGTGCATTTTAGAGTATTAATGAATTGTTTAGTTGTTGAATGTTGAGTCCCTGTTGTTATTGTAATTTGTTACAAAGAACGTTACTGTCCAACTTATTTGGATGGGTATATTTCGGATGGTATAATTTTATATGGCACCGATAACCAGTATCCATGAAATGGATGCGGGATTCTTGGCGAGATACTCAACTTTGAATCCTGGTATCCTTAAATTTGGTATGTGGTTGTCCTTTTTGCCTCTAATCTGCAATAACAATAACATGCTTTAAAAGGTTTATTTATGAAAAGCTGACTGCATTTTGTTATTTCTATATTATCATAAAGTGTTGATTTATTAGTAATAAATCTGTGTATATAAATGAATATAACGCAGCGAATGCGCCAAGCAGTATAAAGCGGCTCAAATACGATATTAAAATCTTGAATGTGCGGTATGATTTAATTATGTTTTAGGATTTAATTTAAAAATGCTTTGTCATAATGTACTTATACCGTTTTACTTGTACTGCATTACAAGGCATTGCGTAAGTGAACAGATTCTACATGTCAGGTTGTCTTGTATATATTTTGCCTTATTTGATATACATTATTATTAAACACGCAAATTTAGTGAGACGCACAGTCGCACATGTTAAATGTCACCTGAATGTCATTGTCATGCATTGCCCTTAAACCCCTGGTCTAATTGGTACGTTTTTGAAGTCGTTGAGGTATCATTTATGGATGATTCCAATTCATTACAAATATTTCTTATTCTTAAAATATTAAAGATTTTTGGAAAAACTCTAAAGTAATTACCACAAACAATTGCTATGATCAAAGACTTTGCCTAGAAGCGTGGCATATAAATATGAGTCATCATGCTTTGAATAGGGATGACGGCGCCTATTTGCCAGAGGAATATATGCATCTTCTTGGCAT